CGCTCTTCCAATGAAAGAATTGTACGTGAAGAGAACCCCGACATTCACAGTGCTCGGCCTCCTCGAAAATGACGGCGAAGAAGAAGAGTTTCTAGGAATTCTTCCTCTACCCGCACCATTCGTGGGCACAACCCACATCACAAAAACACACAATACCACAGCCATCACCGATTTCACCAATGAATTACCTCTAATCATCAAGAAAAATCCCATCTTTATCGGTTTTCGGAGCAAAAGGTCTGATTTTTCCGGGCTTAGATAGCCATTTGATGATTCAGAGTTAAGAATCGCCTGCGAATTGCAATGCCCACCAAGAAATTACTACCAATAAGCTTAACGTAATAAACCAGAGGACACGAGATAGGACGAACAAAAAGAAAGACAAAGGGCGCGGCGCTGAGACGAGATTTTCCAGAAATCGAATCGAGGAAGACAGACAACTAAGCCAGGAATTCAAGAAGGAGATTTTCTCAGCGAGACACTGAAAGGATAAAGCAATTCATTGTTATATACAAAACACCAGATACGTGTGTATATATACTACTCTGTATAGATTGGTGCCCGCATGTGAAACTGTACTAAAAGGACACCACATCTCAAACATGGTTCACGAGAAAACACAGGAAATAAAAGGGAAATATTCACTGGAAAAGACCCTAATCAACAAATCAATGAACAAGATACATGATGAAAGCACTAAATTAATGCGCAGAAAATAAATCAATATACTGATGAATAGTGGTCAGACAAGTCAGATTCTGACAATAAACTAATAATACATCGGCTCAACTTGGATAAAGCAGTTCAACGAAGGGTTCTGTCTCTCCTTTTTTTTTTTTTAATCAGAACGTGGCAATGATCAAGAAATGGAACATTGGAAATCCATTCTATACACACATATTTCAATGGGTTTGTCCCATTGAGATCAAATATATTTTGGTACTTTGAAACTGAGATATTCTTTTATACCTACCTCTATCATTAGGGAACTAACTAAAGTAAAAAAATTTATCACGTGGATATGCAGAGTAAGATATACATATACATATATATATATATATATATATATATATATATGCATATGACACATACCCACCAATACAACAAAAAAAGGGTATCTTTTTCTTTTTTGTGAGCAAGAAGCAAACCTTGGAATATACGTGAAGAACCACTTTTTCCAGATTTCCATGAGAAGAAGAAGAAGAAGGAAGAAGAAGTGAGAACAGTTTCGAAAGCTCAAGAAAGGAATTATATTCTCTCCGCTTTTTTATCTTCATTTTGAATCTGACTTTATTTTGTGAACGCATTCCACATCCATTTCAGGAACGGGAAGTAACCTTTTGAGCAGTGGCCGTGGTGGGGTATCCATGCTTTTCTCTCGTATACACATACCATTGGAGAACAATTTTTCCTTTTCTTTATTAACCCTCCGCTATATTATATATATATATATATATATAGCATCCAATATGCAGCATGTGTTACATGACTCTCTACCGATATATATATATATATATGTGCTCCGACAGTTCCTATAGATATTTTTGAAATTTATGGTATATGTTTATGTATGAAGTAGGGGTTTGAAAGATTGATGTGCTTCTCAACGTAATATATATCTTGGAACTCGATAAAATCCGTTTTATAATCATAGTAATTTATGGTTATAAGATGTGTGGATTTTTTTTCACATTTCATAAAAAAAAATTATATGATACTATTTTTATATAAGATGAATGGATTTTTTCCAATTTCAACGAAAAAAAATTAAATTTATTGGCCCATATGGATTTTTTTTTCGGTTTGAACCGATTTAAATGCAATTTAGATGTAAAAAAGAAAAATTCTCAAATTTATGTTAAAACTATGTGCATAGTGCGTAATTCACCTATTGGTTTGGCACTAACCGCAAGTTGTGGAGCAAGCGTGGCCCATTTAATAGGCCCATTTTAAGTACAATTATAGAGCCTTTCATCAAAATAAAGAAATGTCCAAAAATTCACGAAAATATATATGATAATTTTAAAATTCTTTGACATATTTGAAAAAAAAAAATACAAATGATATCCCTTAATTGACCAAAAAAATCTGCATCAATAAGATGTACCGATTAGCTTTGTGTGTTTCCTAATGTATTGATATTCCTTCAATATCATAGTCATTGTTATTTCAATCGTGTCATCGCTTTTTGTCCGTTAGGCCAAAGCCATCCATCCCACGTCGTATGCTTACAAATTATGTCTCCATCCACTAATCAGATATTCCATTATATATATTCTTATTTAGTTAAAATGGGCCGCATATTAAAAAATATTATACAATAGTCTAACAAATTTAATTTCATGTCGACTTTGATTATTTACTTTTTTTTGGTTTGTAACACTCGATGAAATGTTACCAATTATATCCTCTTATTTTTTTCCCATTACTATTACCATAATCAAACGTTTTTTAATATATATATATATATATTGCCATTTTAATTAAAAAATCTATCGTAAAATGATTTTAAAATATAATATTCGTAATATTTGGAATGAAAAATATAATTCGGTTAAGAAATCTTTGGAGACTATATTGTGATCTTTGAAATTTTCTAACATAATTATTTTGTTTCTATGCAGTTTTATTTTGATTTCAATTTACACTTTCATATATTTAATTTAAAGTCAGAGGCTGCTAGGCCCATAACATAGGGCCCGTTTGAAGACTGAAGTGGATCATTTTAAGGGCCCAAATTTTATGTTTAAAGATAAGGGTAGTTTCGTCATTTCATAAGTATGCTTGGAGTTGGAGCTGGATAAGTTCTTTCTTCTTTGGGATAAACTGCAGCCCTGCTCGCGTCGCGTCTTTCTCCATCTTCCTTCGGGAGCTGTTGTCTGATGCTCCAGAAATCCTAGAAATGGCGTCTTCGCTCGTACCGTCTTTTCAGACCAGGTTAAATGAATAAATTCCACCATATCTTTGAGTAGAATTTCATTCTTCCGTGCGGGTTTTCGCTTTTTTCAGTACGTTTCTGTTGAAAATCTCTCTGATGGTTCATGAACCCGAACCATAAGATTATCATCTTCTCCTATAGTTCTTTCTTCTGTTGGTTCTTAGTTGCATTATGTCGAAAATTTTGAACATGAGAGAATAATGAATGTCGGAGTTGTGAGAGAGTTTTGAAATAGAAATGCATCATGCGGGCATTGGGGTTGTTTTTCCTTCTCTTCGCGAATTTCGGGATTTGCAGCAGACATATCCATGAGAATTCACACAAACCGGTTGCTTTTCAGATTTTTGAATCTTTACTATGATTCTAAATTGCTTCTCAATTGGTATAAAAGCGTGAAAGATTTGTATGGGTTTTTGCTTATATGCTCAACCGTTAGCTATTGGGACCCTGCTTCAAACTTCGTGTCGCATTTTTGTTGACATTCTTGATCATCTATGGATGATAGTGCTTAGGAATAGAGAGCTCTGGCATTGTGGTTCTTGTCTTGTTCTGGTAGCTAAACCATGTCTGGGAAAGCTCTTGTGAAGATGATTTTCTCTTGTTTTCAGCAATCTTAGGCCGGTGTTTTTGGGCGATAGTAGAGGGATCCCGGCCTCTAGAACTCCTGTCCATGTGGGTTTCTCCAGTAAGACCGTAGAGTGCAAGGAATCGAGGATAGGAAAGCAACCGATTGCAGTGCCTTCGAATGTAACCATTACATTAGCCGGGCAGGATTTGAAAGTGAAGGGTCCTTTAGGAGAGCTCTCGCTGACTTACCCTCGCGAAGTAGAGGTTAAGAAGGAGGATTCGGGTTTCCTGAGGGTAAGAAAGACCATTGAAACCAGAAGAGCCAACCAGATGCATGGGCTTTTCAGGTAAAAAAAAGTCTCAATCTTTTTTTCTTATGGTTACTGCAAAAACCACAGTAGTATCCTTGTCAAGTATGTGTTTCAAGGTTATTAACAATCTGAAAGTTTTGAAATGCCAAAGTGACCAAAGGGTTGTTCTTCTAATTCTTGACTTGTGCAAGATTAGGACACTCACAGACAACATGGTAGTGGGGGTGTCGAAGGGTTTCGAGAAAAGGCTTCAACTTGTCGGTGTAGGATATCGTGCAATGGTTGAGGGGAAAGGGTTGGTT